GTTACTCGATTCATTAATTTTGATTAAGGACTGGTCGTACTCCTCACACGCTACAAAAATACGATCTTTATGTTGTCTGCTTCGACTATGTTCATCTAGTCAATTAGAAGCCTTCGTTCAGCAGGATATTGCATCAGTTTGGTAAGGCACAAGAAATTATTACCGGTTTTCAGTAAACATTGGACGTGTTTTTTATTGCATTATTTCGAGAGTTTAGCATTTCAATCTCGCTGAATTCTGTAAGCTTTATTAAGTCTTTCAACAATTTGAATCGCTTATTTAAGTTTGAGAACTGTATTTTTTAATGCATCGTATTTAAACACAGGTGTAGAAAAGTGTTCAATGCTGGTGTTTTGAAATTTTAGCGGCTCCATTGAAAGGCTACTGTATGGTCGTTTAATAGAAGTTTCTGGAATTGATTTACATTTGAAAACTTTCTTGGACAAAGACAAGCCTGCGTTAGTACGGTCACTGCTTTCTAGCAATTATCGCCAGACGAGTCAGGTACATAGGAATTGGTTCGGAAGATTATAATTCTTTAAGCGATTATCATTTTTTTTAAATTTATTTCTGAAGTTGTAAATGTACATGGTAATACTGGGTTTACTTTGGTTCAGTTGGCGTATCTAGTATCGTGTATGGTGGTCGATTATCGAGTTTATGATCGGTCAGTAGTTGAAGTTCTGTTAGGAAGATTACACGCTAGCAGAAATCGAGAGATGTTGATTGGGTTGCTGAGATTCTGTCGTGACCATAAAGATTTAACGACAGTCCGCAACTTGGCTCACCTTTGGGCTCGTACTGCTGACTGGATGGCTTGTGATATAGGTAATACTTTCATTTTTTTTCATTTTCTGTCAAATCTGATTTTGATAGGTTTCAAGACTTGACTAAATTATTAGCTTCAGATTTGTCATCACCAGCAGCCAAGGCCTTAATACATAAATTCCTAAATTTTTGCCTCAGTTGCCCTGTTGAAGGTGGTAGGGCTTTTGGCACTTTGTTCACTACGATCGATGGTCTGCAATTGCCTTTGAGCAGCCAGCTGATTAGAGTTGCAGCATCAGCCACTTCGGTAACGTGTTTCTACTTCTTGAACTTTGAGGGAACTAGATGGCTTTAGACATTGTTGCAGCTTTTTCCTTAAAAAATACCTCTTCATTTTTTCAGCCATGCATTCAAAAAACACAGCTTGGTAATGGCAAATCTGCCTTGGACATTTGTTTGGAGTGGGAAAAGTCAGAGTAGTACTGGTAATCAATAAACTGATCGTTTTACTTATTGGGTCGCTGTGATGTAGTGTATACATGTCATAGTTGTGAATCGTTTGCTGGTGCTTCAGAAAATTTTCAGAAGTTGCAATCCAAGTAGTTCTTATCGCATAAATTATTTATACTGCAACATAAGTTACATTTCGTAAATTTAAAAGCGTAAATGCGCTTCTGGTTCTACAGACTTTGTTAGCATTTTAAGCTGGACAAATGTAGCTTGATGATAGTTTAAACATTTATCTACCGGAGTCTTTTTGGTCGTTTGGGCCGTTGAGATCAGAATCCCCATCAGCATGCAAAAAGTCAGAGGTTTTTGTTTTACTTCGATAATTCAGTAGGACAAATGCTTGAAAGTGACAAATGAGGTTGAGGAAAATTAAAAGCCTTATATTAATTAAAGAAACTCAAGTGAATTCTACTTTAGGTAGAGGAATAGTTGGGGTCAAAACTCCACTAATAGCAACTTCGCACTTGCTGAGTCGTCAAGAACAATTTGTTCAATTTTCTCATTTCCCACTTGAAAGTTAGTCACTTAATTTTTTCTATGAAAATTATTTTAGTTCTGGGCAGATCCCAAATGAAGTAAAAAAATTAACCTAAGAAATGAGTTAAGAATTGAACCAAGAGGTTTCGCATTTTGAAGCTGTCAAGTAATTTATCCAACTCTACGAAACCTTGTCATGTTATTTTAAGCAGGTTTCCCCTACCAAGTTTGATGTCCTGTGAAAATTATCAACGGACTAGATCTTCCGCTATTTGCAAGGTATCTGTTTCGGTCTCTCTGTGTTACACTGGCAGTAAAAGAACTGCTGGCTTATGAAGTTAAAGAAACTTCAGCTTATTTGTGGTTTGAAATTTCTTAATGCAAATCTAGTTTCGTCATAGTTCCTTTGGCAATTAACAAACGGGACTAGTTCTGAAAAGTAATTAGCCAGCTACTTGTAAAAATGGCATGCAAAGTTTTCTCTTTATTTTCTGGGAAGAAAAAAGTGTTATTTGTATAACTCAGAATTGTGAATGAATACTGAAAATAAAAAGTTGTCATGGCTGTCGGACACCTTCCTAAAATGAAGGATTGGTACGGTAGTAACCTTCATACACTCCCAATGAGGGCCTCTTTAGTGATATGATATTCCTACTGTGGATCGTAATTTAGCCCTCACTCGCCACAGTGCCAAACAGTAAACTGTAACCTTTAT